CCGTCCAGCTGGTCGTCGCGTGGTCCAGCATTGACTGCCTGACAGTACTGGGTTCAGACTGGGTCACGTCGAGACGACCCCTGTGGCCGCCTCCACCCTCCGGGCCAGTGCTTTGCGCAACTTACGGACCGCTACCACGCACAGTTCGGCCTTGGTCGCACTCCCCCCGACTAGCGCTCGCTGGCTCACACCGTTGGTTCGCAGTTGTTTGAGATGTCTGCAGTAGACTTAGACCATGCTTTGCGATCTGTCTCCGTGATGTATGTTAATAACTCTAGTGTTGAGCAGTCTGGTTATTACTCTTGTTTGTCTAGCTTAGGTGCTGTAGAGGTTGCTAGTGCTGTACCTGCTAGAGTAGCTTGCACAGGTTCGACCACATCGACCACGTCTCTGTCGTTCACGCTCGACGCTGAAGCGTCCAGCTGTTTCTTTCGCGACTGCACCGACCTCACGCCACTACGCACTCCAGTCTCTGTCGCCCTAGCTGACTCCACAGTGGGACTGGTGGTTGCTCACAACACCACCACTCTCCCGTGTCCGGCGGCTCCCTCTGGGGTCCTCACAGGTTACTACACCCCCTCGTTGTCTAGGAACTTGGTGGGTGTCAGTCACCTCCACGACCTCGGGGTAGTCACCACTTTCCCTCTGGACAAGCCTGTTGCCTCCTGCAGTGTCGGTGTCACTGGGGCGCCTGTAACCACTTTTCACAGGGAGCCAGGCTCTGGTATGTACTAACTGCACACGAGGTCTCACCACTCCGGTCAGGTCGGGTCAGGTCAGGTTGCTGCTGTGCCGTGCGACAGCCGGTCACTCACCCACCCGTCGGTCCTCTGCCATTACCGTCTAGGTCACCCGTCCTTCATGCGTCTCAGTAGGATGGTATGTCACCGTCTGGTCTCAGGTCTCCCAGAGTCGCTCGCCCCGCTTCCCCGCTCGCCTGCGCCGCCGTGCACTCCTTGCGTCGAGGGTCGGCAGCGCGCTGCCCCTCACTCCTCCTCGTTCCCCCCCACCACGACTCCCTTACAGACCCTGCACTTGGACGTCTGGGACCCCTCCCCGGTCCTTGGCCGACGTCAGGAGCGCTTCTTCCTGATTGTGGTAGACAACTACTCCTGCTACACCACGGATTTTCCCTTGCGACGGAAGGCCGACGTGCCTACCGTCCTCGAGCTGTGGCTACTAGCTAGGGGTGGCGCCCAGGGCCTTCGTGGACTCCGTCTACACTCGGACCGTGGTGGTGAGTTTGCTTCCACTCGTCTGGAGGCGTTTTGTCAGGGTCAGGGGATCACCCAGTCTTACACGCTACCAGACTCGCCACAGCAGAACGGGGTAGCTGAGCGACGCATCGGCCTTGTCATGGAGGTTGCCCGTACCTCCATGTGCCCCAAGGGTACAGTTAGAGTAGCAGCAACCTTGGCAGGCCAGGAGGCGTGGCTATTCGCGGATGGAGTAGAAACTTGGAAGGTTGCTCTTCTGGGGCATGGGTAGCAGGCGGACGGAGACAGGAGCAGGTGGTGGCATTCAGGGATGACATATCATGCAGTTGAGGCTGCATATTACTGACGTTCTAGATCCTCTCTTCGTTGGAAGTTTGGAATACATTCCTCCTCCCCTCCCCTTTCCTGCTTCCCCCCTCCTCGTTCCTGCTTCCCTCCCTCCTCCTTCCCGGTTCCTCCCTCCTCCTTCCTCTTTCCTCCCTCCTCCCTCCTCCCTCCTCCATCTCTCCTCCCTCCTCCCTCATCCTTCCGTCCCATTCCCCCTCCCCATCACTTCCCTCTACCTACATCCCTTGTGCTCTCTCCTCACTCCTCCAGCACTCATTGTGCTCCTCTCCTCCCCCCATCCATCCTGCACCGTATACTATGCACACCCTACCTTACACTGACCACTGGGCACCCATCGTGTACAGTATATTGTGTCTAAACAGGGTATGGACAATACACCCCAACTGGCCGATTGTCGTCGGCTAGAGTGATTTCTAGAAGGGTTTAGTTGAGGTTGCCTTTGTGGCTGCTGTGGTCAAGAATTATACACTGTCTGTCACTGTCTATCTATTTACACTATTGTCTAGACCATCTTGCTCAGACTGATCTTGTCTGCCCCTCTGACTCCCTGATACCGTGTTCCTGCCGGACGGACCGTGTTCATGTGTCCAACTCAACTTCCCTTTTGTCACTACGTGGTGAGTGTCCATTGGTAGCTCACTCTGAACTTGGTCCATTGGACCATTGATAGCTCACTTTGCTCTGGTGACTCAATGTTACAATATGAAAACGTGATTCGACAATTGAATAGTCCAGTGTAGCAGAATCATTTTCTCTTGGATGGCTTATGTTTCTTTTGTTCTCTGTAGATGTGTGGTTGATAAAAGAATGTAGTACGGCCGCCATAAGAGAAATTAACTTTAGAAAGACGTATGTAAATCTCACATCAAGGCTCTTTAGAGCCACGTGCCATAAGCGAATCGGAGTGGGACTGAACGGGAGACGTACGAAACCACGTAACGAACACGGCACGGCGAAGTTGAAAAGCACGTCATATGCATAGCTAACAACCAATAATAGGCATGGGAAAAATACCCGGACGGGTCGGGTTACCCGACCCGACCCGAATTTTTAGTCGGGTCGGGTCCTTATATTGGGCTTGACTACCCGGGCGGGTCGGGTAGTGTATACTCGGGCGGGTATGAAATACTCGGTACCTGACCCGGGTGTCCAAATTCGGGTATTGAATACCTGTCAATGTAGTCCATAACAAACATTTTTTTGCTTCTTATTAATAACACTATGAAAAGGGTATTCGGGTATACCCGACCCGACCTCGGGTATACCCGGCCCGACCGCGGGTCAGAGATACCCGAGAGGTACTGGGCGGGTCGGGTCAACATCCTTGGCCCAAATACCCGGGGTCGGGTAACCCGACCCGACCCCGTACCTGACCTCGGGTCGACCTAAACGAGTCGGGTCGGGTCGGGTCGGGTCGGGCCAATGCCCATGCCTAACCAATAACGGAGCAATGCTACAGCACAGCGAGGGGGAAAGAAAATACTTCTTTGCCGACAAGAGTTGCTTGCGCTCAGGGATTAGCCGTGTGCTTGCCAATGCAGCTTCGGGATAATGGCGCGTAACTTTTTCCTTTTTGTCGAATGTCCGTACGGAGCCCGCAAACCGGCCGGACGGAGCTCCGTCCGAACGGCTGGGAATCAGGTCCAAACGACTGCCCGTCCGGACCACAAATGTGATATTTTTTTGCAATTTCGAAAAAAAAAAAAAACATTTCACCATGAAATGTAACACACATTACGAGTTTTTCGTACAGCACTCGCATGTTTCGTCACAAAAAATCAGCGGTGCGGTACTGGTTGTGGTTGTCACCCACTTCGAGCACCATCCTGAAGTGGCCCAGTCAAGTTAGATGGGACTTCCGAAGGATGAGGTTGCGGGATCAAACCCCAGTGCCGGCGAGTTCTGCCAGCCCCCCAGAAGGGGGTTTCGCACTGTTCATCTGGGAGTGGATATGCCTTACCTCGATACCCAGCGAGGTGTGTAAACAAGTGTGTAGGCGGATTACGATCGACAGCCGGGGGTAACCCAAAGGGGGATTTCCCCCCTCCTTTACCTTTACCTTTACCCACTTCGAGCGCCAATGATAGCGCAGCCAAAACGGACGAAATGCCGTTCGGACGGTGTCAGCAGGGTGGTCCGGACCACTTTTGGCAGAAAAGTGCCACATTTGGTCCGGACTGTAGCGACGTCACAGAGTGTCTTGCGAATGCCTTAACGATGGCATGCGAACTTAGTTTTCCCTACAAAAGTCCGTACGGGGCCTCCGTCCGGACTACGGAAGGTGAAAAAGTCACGCGCCCTAAGGGCGCGTAACTTTTTCACCTTCCATCGTCCGGACGGAGGCCCCGTACGGACTTTTTTCGCCATAATTCGTTTAGAAATTCGTAAGACCCCCTGCGACGTCGCTACCGTCCGGACCAAAGCTGACACTTTTCTTCCAAAAAGTGGTCCAGACTACCCTGCTGACACCGTCCGAACGGTATTTCGGACGGTCCGTTTTGGCTGCGCTATCATTGGCGCGCGAACTGGGTGACAACCACAACCAGTACTGAACCACGATTTTGAAGTGGCGACTTTTTCGAGTGGTGCACGAATATCGTAATGCGTGTTACATTTTCGTGGTGAAAATTATTTTCGAAAGTGCAAAAAAGTTTCACATTTGTGGTCCGGACGGGCAGTCGTCCGGACCTGATTCCCAAACGTTCGGACGGAGCTCCGTCCGGCCGGTTGGGGGCTCCGTCCGGACATTTGACGAAAACAGAAAAAGTTTTACGCCCTAAGCATTGACTGATTTGTGTGCTGGTAAGTGCGGTTCCCTCTCGAGTGTCTAGTTTTTCGAAAGGCCTAGGAGGAACTAAGTCAGCGTGTCAATCAGGTGTCCGCGCCAGGTCGCGGCTCGTGCACTAGAGCATTTGTTTTAGGCAAAGTCGTGCTTTGAGTCGACTAAAAGTCGTCTAATTAATTTAGTAAACTCCTGCGCAAAGCTTTTACGAGCCGTTGTCGCAAGTACTTCGTGGAAATAGAATCGTACTAAGACGTTTCAGATCATTGATATCGGTTCTGTTCTATTCACGGAGTTCGAGCGGCGGTTGGAAGGAAGAGGCAGCACGCGTGCGTGCGTGTGACTCGCTGCTGCTGCAATTGGTGTTTTGTTACGTTGACGACACAATCACCGCGTCGCATTGCTCCCACCTCCTCCGTCCCTCTCCCGTATTTTTAACGGATATTTATCTACCTGTCACCCTTTAAAGCATCACCGTCCCTCCCACGCTCCCACTCAGCGCCACCCATTTCTCGAACCCATTCTCGCCGCGCGAACCTTCCGACTCTCGTTCCTTTCAGAAGCCGTGTTGTAGCAGTTGCAATCTGCTTCCCCTAGCATCTGTAGCGCCGTCTGCGTCTGCAGCAGCTTCTGCGCCTGTAGCCGTGGCTTTGATGGCTCAACGAAGTCAACCGAATCAACACAGCCCTCAAAGGCAGCAATTGCAAGACGGCGGGCAAGCGGCCACCTCAGGTGGACACGGGGCAACGGAAGAGCTACACACCAGTTTCAGGTGAGGGTGGCAGCAGCAGCGGCAGCAGCAGCAGCTGTGGCGGTGGCGACAGCAGCAATTTACAAGCGGTCAGTCCAGTCAAACCAGTCAAACCAGTCAAACCGGTCAAGCCAGTCAAACCGCTCAAATCAGTCAAGCAAGTAAAATCACCAACCTATTGGAACCAGGTAGAGAGTTGCTGCTGTTACGGTGTGCTGCCGTGCCATCACCCGCTCTTCATCCCTCTACCTGGTTAGTCGTGTCCCCGACCCCTTGCATTCATTGCCTGCCCCTCACATTCAACACCACTTCTCCTCCTCTGCATGCTTCCTCTTCACTTCTCTTATCTTCTCTTCGCTCCTCCTTTCTTCCCTTCCCTTCCCTTCCCTTCACTTCTCTTCTCTTCCCTTCTCTCCTCTCCTCTCCTCTCCTCTCCTCTCCTCTCCTCTCCTCTTGTCATCCCATCTCATCCTATCTCATCTCATCTCATCTCATCTCATCTCATCTCATCTCATCTCATCTCATCTCATCTCATCTCATCTCATCTCATCCCATCCCATCCCATCTCATCTCTTCTCTTCTCTTCTCTTCTCTTCTCTTCTCTTCTCTTCTCTTCTCTTCTCTTCTCTTCTCTTCTCTTCTCTTCTCTTCTCTTCTCTTCGCTTCTCTTCTCTTCTCTTCTCTTCTCTTCTCTTCTCTTTTCTTCTCTTCCTTCTCTTCCCTTCCCTTCCCTTCACTTCTCTTCTCTTCTCTTCTCTTTCTTCTCTTCCCTTCCCTTCCCTTCCCTTCACTTCTCTTCTTTTCTCTCCTCTTCTCTTCTCTTTCATCTCGTCTGGTCTCTACTCCCCTCTTTCTCTCCTCTCCATCTTCTCTCCTCTCCTCTTCTCTTCTCTTCCTTCTCTCTTCCATCCTCTCAACCCCCGCACCTCCTTCCCCTCCCCGCCACCACCGCCAACACCACCAGCAGGAGGATCCACCCACTCCGCGTCTTCGTCTTCAGTCGCCTCTGTTACTCCGCGTCTTCAGTCGCCTCTGTTACTCCGCGTCTTCAGTCGCCTCTGTTACTCCGCGTCTTCAGTCGCCTCTGTTACTCCGCGTCTTCAGTCGCCTCTGTTACTCCGCGTCTTCAGTCGCCTCGCCACCGCAACGTGCCTTTGAGGCGCCTCAAAAGTCCTTCCCCCGCCCCCGACCCCCACCTCCCACTCCCCACGCCCCCCTCCCACCACCACCACCACCGCCAGGATTATCCACCCACTCTGCGTCTTCAGTCGCCTCTGTTCCTTCCACTGCTAGCACGCCACCGCAAGTGCAGGCGTGCCGCCGCTTCACTCTGCAAGAGCTCGCACAAGCCACGGGAGGGTGGGCAGCGCAGAGCAGGATAGGCACGGGGCGCAGTGGGGATAAGTACAGGGGGGTGCAGCCGCTACCGGCTGGTGCTCAGGGGAGAGACGGGGGAGATGGGAGAGATGGGAGAGATGGGGGAGATGGGGGCGTGGTGTGGGCCGTGAAACGTGCAAGGGTGGGGCGGGTGCGACCAGATGATTTCCAAAAAGAGGTGTGTGACGCCACGCCACGCCACGCCACGCCACGCCACGCCACGCCACGCCACGCCACGCCACGCCACACCACACCACTCCACGCCACATGTCATGTGTACCCCTTCTCATGCGCTCCATTCCTTTACTTGTTACATTTCCGCGCACGTTGCATGCCTGTACGTCGGCAGGCACCACCACTGGATGGGCTCTCAGTTTCTCTCTCCATGCTTCCATCCATCCATCCATCCATCCATCCATCCATCCATCCATCCATCCATCCATCCATCCATCCATCCATCCATCCATCCATCCATCCATCCATCCATCCATCCATCCATCCATCCATCCATCCATCCATCCTAATGAACGCTCTTCTGCCTCCCCCCACCTTTCACACACCCAACGAACGAAGCAGCACGGTTCCTTCGCCCTCCCACCTCCTCCTTCAATCCCTCCAAAAAAACTTCTTACTCTCTATTCTGGAACCTTGTTGAGAAGATTCTTTCAGGCGCCTCAGAAACCGTGACAGTTGTCCAACTCTCTTTTCTTAGAGACGGCCGCTTATACGCGCTCCCACTTCTTTCTTTCATTTTTGAGGCATCTCGAAAATCGTTTCCTATGCACCTCCAATCCCTTTCATTCCAACCCCGTTTCGGTGAAGCAAGCCGATTGAAAACGTGCTTTCTTCTCGTTCCCCTCCTTGCTTCCTAGACCTTCGAATGTATGGTTTCATTAAGCGCCCCTTCCATCCGCCTCCACCTCCCCCTTCGTTCTCCATCACTCCTTCTGTCTCTCTCAAAATCCCTCCCTCCGCCCTCCCCCGCCTTTCCCCCTTCTCTCAGGTGAAGCAGATTGGTTCAAAGCGCCACGTGCATCTGGTTTGAGGTTTTTTTTTAAGGCACCACGTGCTTCTGGTGCGGCTGGTGGGGTTTTAAGTCGACTCAAAAGAAACCCCTCCCTCCCGCCGCCTCTCTTCCCCCTTCTCCCAGATGAAGCAGATTGGTTCAAAGCACCACGCGCATCTGGTGCGGCTGGTGGGTTTCTGTGCGGAGGAGGACGCTGTGACAGGGACGAGGGAGCACATTCTGGTCTATGAGTTCATGCCTAACGGCAACCTCACTCGCTGGATAGGCCCATGTGAGACGCATGTGCGTGCTGCGATTGTGGGTGGGTGCGTGCGTGCGTGGGTGCGTGCGTGTGTGTGTGTCTGGGGGGGGGGCAGGGCATGTGTGCGTGCGTACATGTGCACGTGCGGCTGTTCGTGTGCGAGTGTGGGTTCGCAATGCAACTGTTTCCACTTGCTCCCCCGCTTGCATTCTCCCCACTCGCTCGCATTCTCACCCCTTCCCCCACGCCCAGGTGCGGCGGTGCAACTGAGCTTGCATCAGGGAATGGACGTGCTGATTAGCGTGGCACAGGCCTGCCTTGCACATGCTCAACCATTTCCCTACATGCTCCCACACGCTCCCGCATGCTCCCGCACGCTCCCGCATGCTCCCACATGCTCCCACACGCTCCCACATGCCCACCCCTTCCCCCACGCCCAGGTGCAGCGGTGCAGCTGACTCTCCAGCAGCACATGGACGTGTTAATCGGCGTGGCACAGGCGGTGCAGTACCTGCACGCCTTCTCTCCCTCGTGCACGCTCACATCCACTGCCTTCCACATGCTCACCCCTGCCCTCTCCCCCAGGTGCGGCGGTGCAGCTGACCCTGCAGCAGCGAATCGACGTGCTCATAGGAATAACACAGGCGGTGCAGTACCTGCACGCCTTCTCCCTCGTGCACGATCACATCCATCCCGCCAACGTGCTCCTCGACAAGAGCATGCGCGCCAAGCTCACTGACTTTGGCCTGGTCAGAGACCCCTTCGCCAGGGAGAATGGCACAAGGGACGACTGTACTACAGAGAATGGCACCAAGGATTGTGTGAGGGATGGTTCGAGAGATGGCGTGAGGGATGGAAGAAGAAATGGCGCAGGGGTGCAGGCGGGGAGGCAAGACGCAGAGAGACGAGACGTCAGGGGGGCTGAGAAGGTGGATGGGAGAGGTCATGGGGTTCGAGACAGGCAGGGTTGCAATAATATCAGCGGTGTTGGCACTGGCGCTGGCGCCGGCGGTGGCGGCGGCACTGGTGGTGGTGCTGCTGGTGGGGGTGCGGGACATGTGTGGAGTGCGGGAGGGGACGCATCAGGGTACATGGACCCAGAGTTTCTCCACACGCACCGGCTGTCGCCTGCCGTTGATGTATACAGCGTTGGAGTGCTCGCCCTCATGCTGCTCACAGCACGCACTGCCACCGCCGCGCATCAACACGGCGACAACGACAAAGGCTTGGACGGAACCCGGGACAGACATTTAGACAGACACGTCGATGGACACGCAGACAGACGACACACGGGTGAACAAGCACACGCAGACAAAAGAGCCACGCTTATACACTGGGTCGCCTCTCTCCTCCCCGCCCAAAACCCCGCAACCTTCACCGACCCCTACCTCTTATCCCCCTCCTCCTCCTCCCCACCTCCCAACCCCGGCTCGCTCCTCCGACTAGCAACCCTCGCGCTCTCCTGCACGGCCCTTCCGTCATCCTCGCGCCCCTCCGTAAACCGGCTCCTTTTCGAGCTTACAGAGATTCGGGAGGAGCTGTTTGGAGCGGCGAGGAGTGAGGCGTTGGAGCGAGTGGACAGGGAGGTAGCGGACATGCAAGGGGGGGATTTTTTTGCGGAGATGGCCCGAGCGGAATCCCTGGCCGGAGCGAGTGTGAGCGGAGGGATGGGGGTTTCATGGGCCGTGACGAGTGTCAGTGGAGGGGCGGGGGTGAGTGGGGCGGTGAGTGGGGGGTGGAGTGGAGGGGTGAGTGGGGGGGTGAGTGGGGGGGTGAATGGGGTGAGTCGGGGTGAGAGGTACGAATGGGCAGCAGGAGGTGGTGTGCGGTGAAGCGAGAGAGAGAGAGAGAGAGTTTGGAGTGAGGCGCTAGAGCGAGTGGACAGGGAGGTGGCGGACATGCAAGGGGGGGACTTTCTCGCGGAGATGACCCGAGCGGAATTTCTGGCGTCGGGAGCGAGCGTGAGCGGAGGGATGAGCGGAGCGACCGGGACTTCCTGGGTCGTGGCGAGCGTGAGTGGAGGAGGGGCGGTGAGTGGGGGGTGGAGAGGGGGGGGTGATTGGGGGGGTGAGTGGTGGGGTGAGTCAGGGGGTGAGTGGAGGGTGAGGGAGGGGAACTGCAGGGGTGAGTGGTGTGGGTGGGCAGCAGTAGGTGGTGTGCGGTGGAGGGAGGGAGAGGTTGGAGTGCGGCAGGATAGGTGGCAGTGTGTAGATGGCGATTGTGGAGGGTAGTTGAGACCTCTTGAAAGAAATGGTGTTGTTTGGAGTGGGGGATGGAAGGGGATGGGATGGGATGGGATGGGATGGAAGAGGATGGATGGAAGGAGATGAGAAGAGGATGGTTGGAGGGGGATGGAGGGGGTTGGGCGGGGGTGGAGGGGGGTGGCCTCGTTTATCTGGGGAATAAGGAATGGATCAAGAAGTTTCAGGTGATCTTGTAGCATCACTAGTTGCTACGAGAGTGTTGATCATATATTTGTACAAATAGTCAGTTATTTGTAGGTGGCTTTAGTGAGCTGCTGTGTCCGTGCTGCTCTAGTCTTGCAAAATCTAGGAGCGAAATAGCAAAGCAGATGAACTCTCATTTGAGTCTTGACTCTTGATCAATTGAGGCAGGCGCCATCTCTGTTGTGTCAGAACCTTCAGGGACGCAGCAGGAATATGAGCGAGCAGGGCCATAGGGTTATTGCTGCAATTGCATATACTGCGCTGTAACAGAAATATGATCATAGCCTCTGCAGTTTTCCAGAATGAATTAGTAATTAAACAATATTGCACGTACGGGGAGCTGAGTTACATTGACGAATTGCAGTGCAGAGTAATGCACACACCCAGTAAGGAGCACTACCTACTTCACACACGTAATCACCTCCCCAATGACTTAACAACCTATTTCCACACATGCCTTCCCTCACGCCATCGTCCTACGGTATCTGAAAACCAAATCGCCATCAGCCTAGTCATCATCATCAACACGCTGCAAATGCCCCCACCAGCCTTTATCGTCGTCATCCCTGTACCAGTCACTGTCAAACGCATACTCATGTTCCATGTCCTCATCCTCACCACCACTCTCCTCTTCCTCCAATTCCTCCCCGCCCTCCTCTTCCCTTTCCAACGCCGCATAGATTCCCTCCTCCCCATCTTCCTCTTCCGCATCCCCTTCCTCCTCCCCCTCCCCGCCCTCCCCCTCCACTTCCTCCCCCTCCTCTCCCCTTGCAGGAATCCCTCGCGTGTCTCGCCGTGAGAGCAACGGGCACTCACTGATATCGTACTCTCGCAAGAAAGAAAGCTGCGACAGGGAGTCTGGGAGCTTTTGCAGCTTCTTACACTCGAGCAATTTCAGCTCCCGGAGGGCTGTCAACTGCCCGAAGGTTTCAGGCAGGTTTTTTAGCTGATGAAGGTCTTTCAGGCACAGCTTCTTCAAAGAAACCAGATGGCTGAACTCCTGGGGCAGATGTGTCAGATTTCGATGATGGTTGAGGGAAAGCACTTGAAGCGTAGTAACCAGGGCGATGGAATCAGGTAAGGCTGTGAGATTCCTGAGTTTCAGCACGAGTGTCCGAAGCTGTGACAACTGCCCGAAATCTTCGGGCAGCGCTGAGAGCTGTGCCATGTCAAGAGTGAGATTGGTGAGAGCAGGCAGTCGGGGAAGAGACGCCGGCAAAGACGTGATATCACTGCAGTGCTTGATAACTAGAGTCTTCACTCGCTGCAAATGCTCGAGAGCCGCAATCAGGTCGCGCATTCCCGTCATTTCAACCAGAATTAGGGATTCAAGCGCCCGTAGTCGAGTGAAATTGACCGGCTGCGACGGAGGAGGCATCCTGCATCGCCGAACCTCGAGGATGGCGAGAGAAGAAAGCTTGGTGAAAGAGGCCGGCAGCTGCAACGTCGCGCAGTGACTCAAGAAAAGACGGTTTAGAGCGGCAAGCTCCCCGAAGGATTCCGGAAGTGAAGCCAGGCGACAATTGTGCAGCTCCAGTGACGTTAAGGAAACCAGATTGCCGAAACCCTGAGGCAAAGCTTCAAGCCTAAAAGCGTTCAGCACGAGGCTTCTGAGAGATTGTAGTGAGGTGAGAGTGTCGGGAAGACGCGTAACGCGAGCCCTGAGGGTTAAGTTCTTAAGCCGTGCGAGTCGGTCGATCGACGGGGGAATAGCAGCACGCTCCGAACAATACACGTAAAGATCTTCCAGACGCGTACACCCCTCGAACAGAGCAATGAGGCTCTTCTCAGTTACACCTCCGTAATCAGATTCACGTGAAATCGCTTCAACACGAAGCTCGGTCAAATGAGGACACTGGTCAGCGAGGCGAGAGATTAAAAAATAAGAGGCGGAGGTGATGCTGCCAGAGGGAAAAATGAGCTTTTTGAGGTTAATAAACGGCGACAGAATCTGAGCGAGGCAACGCGGATCCATACGGAGGTTATCGGGCAAGTGAAGCTCATGTTGCAAGTGGTAGGCGATGTGACGCCATTGCTTGCTAACAAGTGCGTGTTCCGGCAGGCCATCAGGTCGAACAAGAAGATGAAGGATACGAGAGAGCAGCTCCTCAGGCAGCCGCTGGATCGGCGATCCGACTGACATTGTGAAAGGAGGAGAATTGAAGAGAATGATCAATGGATGTTCGCCCTGCTACTATTTAGGTAACCTGGATCCTAATCATCAACAAGCAACTAATTTGTTAGGCTGAAAGAGTCGCACAACCTTCCCCTTGGGCTTGTCAGCGGATCCATCCCTCAACAACAAAGCCTTGGTATTATCAGTGGCAGCGCACTCAACCGCTCGGTTGTCCCGAACCATTCCGCCATATTTTCCTCCCACGTAACACCATATTTGCGAAAAGGACGGCGATGCAAGGCGCACAATGACGATATTCTACATAGACTCCGCGAGGTTTCCTCACCGTGCATTCGCGACCCCAAAATGCGTGTGCACCCCCCACTACCATAAGTGATGGCAGTATACCCGTTTGTGGGTGGGAATCCACCATTCGTTCAGCGTTATTTCTCATGTGGCAGGAAAAGTAAAACGCGGAGGGAGTGAATAAAAATTAAGGGAGTATATCTTGATGCATTAATGGGTCCATGCAGATGTCTTGTTTCTTACCCCTCTTAAATCTATAGAAAAAAATTGTTGTGTGTTCTTAGTGGGCATGTTTTCTCTCCTCCCTTTCAAGACCCCCCTCCCCTTACAGGTTCATTCGAAAGAATTTCATGGAGTGAAGTGCCACTCTCCCATGTACCATCTCCACCCTTCTCCTAAGAAAAAGGTGCACTTGCACCATATACCACCAGCCACGCGCTGATGTCTTGCAGTGTCCACTCCCGTTCACCTGCCTCTCTTGCATTGCAATGTTTTGCTACCGCCGCTGCCTCCCTCCATTGCTCTATCGCTTCGTTATTGACACGACCTTTCACCATGCGGCCTGCTGGCCCAGTATCAGGCGATTCAGACCGCCACTGCAACCCACTGATCCGAGACAATACACAGCGTTGTCGCAGGCGTTGGCTCAAGCTTGTGAGGTCACCAGGAGTTGCTTGCCTGCTGGTGCTGTTGGCTGCCCCCCACCTGCATGCAGTTGCTGGCTGGTCACTGGCCGGTCGCTAGCTGGATGCTGGCTGGATACTGGTTGCTGCACGCAGTGGGGCACGCTGAGCAATAGATGTGGGCTGCATCTGCCTCCCTGAAGAGTCGAGTCAAGAGTCAAGCGTCATCTGGTCGTTGCTTGCTGGTTGCTGCTTGCTGGTTGCTGCTCGCTGCAGGCAGTGGTGCACGCTGAAGAAGAGGCATGCGTGTGTGTTGTAGGCTGCATCCGCCTCACATGCCGCCGGATGGAAGCTGCATGGCGAAAGGGGCGTTGGGGGAACCGGGGTAGGGGGGGAAGAGGGAGGGGGGAACAGAAAGAGGCAGTAGAGACAGGAGCAAAGAGGCAATGGAATGAGAGGTGGTGAACAGTATGGGTGGGCGTATAGGGGGAAGAGGGGAGAGCTAGAGCGCAAGGCATGGAAGATGTAAGGCATGGGCATCAGAGCATGTGATGCAGGAAGACATAGTGGTAATCGGAGTGGTGATGGGACGATAGCAGTGCCATCATCACTCAGTAACACGCTCAATAGCTCACTAATAACTCCCTAGCCCCCTCGCTCACTCGCACTCTCACTCACTCACTCACTCGCTCACTCGCTCGCTCGCACACTTGCTCACTCACTCGCTCACTCGCACCCTCGCTCACTCACTCGCTAACTCACTCACTCACTCCCTCACTCACTCGCTTACTCACTCACTCACTCACTCACTGAACCGCCCAGTCGCATACTCACTCACTCACTCTCTCACGCACTCACGCACACACTCACCCAAGCAGGAGGAGGTCCGATAGAAGCATGGAGAAGGCACGAGTGTAACGGCGGAGAGGGTCGTCGGGAGCGACGTGAGGAGAGAGAGGAGGGGGAGAGCTGGTATGGTAGGTAGATGCCTCATCTAGTGGGGGAGGGACGGAGACCACCAGCTGGCACACTGGTATAGTTGCCAGAACTAGGTAGGGAGGGTGGATGGAGGGAGATGGGGATGGGCAGGGTGGAGGTGAGAGGAGGGTGGAGAGAGGGAGTGAGTGGGTGGGTGACGGGAGATGGGTTTGGATTTAAAGATTTTTGCGCGATGGCAAGAATGTGACGACACGAAATGCATGTGATGACATGCATACGCGAGCAGCAAGGGAGAGAAGCACAAAGTACCTTGTCCCTGCTCCATGCTCTAACCGTCCTCACAACGCGGTCGACCTCCGGCATCTGCAAGGACCACGAGTCAATCAAGCACATGCGCACACACGCACACACACACACACACACACACACACACGCACACACACACACACACACACACACACACACACACACATACACACACACACACACACACACACACACACACACACACACACACACACACACACACACACACACACACACACACACACACACACACACACACACACACACACACACGCACACACGCACGCACGCACACGCACGCACACACGCACGCGCACACGCACACGCACACGCACACGCACACCGACGCACGCACGCACGCACGCACGCGCACGCGCGCGCGCGCGCGCGCCCACGCGCGCCGACGCGCGCCCACGCCGCACGCACACGCACACGCACACACACTCACGCACACACACACACACACATACACACGCACACATACGGTGCACCCC